CACCTCACACACACATTCGCAGCCGCTTCTGTCAATTGCGTTTTAGTTGTTTTTGCTCGTTTGTTTCGCTCTGCATAGTTTGTGTGGTATGTGCGTGCATGTGTGCTACAATTTTACACATGTATTTGGACAGTGTGCAAGTGGGTGTGTTTGTCTTTTTGCCACGTTTGTTTTGGTATGTGGGTTCGCTAGTTGCGCCGCATTTGCTGTTTTAATTTTTTGCGCAGTTTTGCTAGCTCTTGTTTTATCGCTTCTCTCTTGATTTTGCTTTGTTGTGGTAATAAAACCAGGTTTTTAATGGCTTTGCATCAATTTCAGTCAAGGCTTAGCTTAGTGGCCTATACGTGTATTATCTCCCTTTTATTAACTATTCGCCGTCCGATGGACACATGATGGCGAATGCGCAAACCCTCTAGGCTTGCTTACGCATCTATTTTTAGGAGCTAAATTAACTTGAGATGGTGCCCCCGTCCGTAGATTAGTATTTGTACGCGTGAAACGCTTATTATGTTCCTTTTTGCCATATTTGATGCAAGTCAAAGTTTTAATATAATATAATAGTATGAACTATAAAGCTAAATTAAGTACTTTTACACTTAGTTGCTATAGACAAATTACGATTTAGAGGGTTGTGTTGAGGGTATTTGAAGTGTAACACACTTGAGGTGAATCTATAACTCCAAACTTTTGATCCTAGCCCCTGCTGCTTTATACATCTCTAGTAAGAATGAATATTAAAATGGAAGCTAAATTTTCTGTGGTATTGCTTATAAAATAAATATTTTGTGACTTTCAAAGTATTAGAATATCTTTTGATTTAGATTTCGAAAGATGAAAAAATTATGTATATGAAGTGATATTTTCTAAGCGTGATCTTATAAGGAATAGAGTAGTCAATCATAGACTTAATGAAACTAATTATTCACTCGATTTGCAGTTGAAAATAACCAGAACCAGACGTTAATATCCAAATGCATTATAATCTACCTAGCCGCCCCTCACATATTGCGGTCTTATCGGGGAAGGGGTTTCTGATGTGTCTGAGAGTCATGAGCAAGAGCAATTGACCTTTATAAACATTTCCTTTTTATGTTTTATCACTACAGCAATTTGTTAATTGAAATTGAAAAGCAGGGAATTGAGAATTTCACGGTTAGTCGACTTTATTTAATATGGACGATAACCCCCAGCGGGGTCCAACGGCATTTAATTGTGAGTTTCAGACTCTGATCATGATGATTATCGCATGTTAAAAATAAAACGCGTGCCAACTGCCAGCTGCTCAATGAAATTCTTAATGATTCCAATTTTAAATATATATTTATATATATATTTCCGTTGCTCTGAAATGTTTATATTGTTATTTACATTAAATTTAGCGGCACTGATAAAAAACAACCGTAAATATATTCTTTACTTACAGGAGTATGGCATCTCAAAAAAATGCGAGTTTCTGTTCAAGCTCGAATACAGCCTCATTGAGCTGGACAATTCGAACGGGCTGTTGAGTCCTCGCTATCCTGGACGCATACTCATACCGGAATACGAGCATGGCCACATGGCCAAGACGCTAATACCCAGCAATGGGCTGGGAGGTGGCGGCGGCGGCTCATCGGGCCACAACGACAACGGCGACGCCGCTGAACGGCAGCGCCAACAGCAATTGCAGCAATGGCAGCAGCAACAATGCCGCCCAACGCTGCGTAGGCATTCAGGCCTTTGTGACCTTTCGCCAATCCGCTGCAGACGCCACAGCATCCGCAACAGCAGTCGATTGCCACAAGTACCGCAACCAGCAGTCGCAGGCAGAACACCATCTATGAGGATCAGTATGATATACAGCGCATACGTGAGCTGGTGACTATGGCGAAGTCTGCGCGCTGCAGGCAGCGCTTCGCGGTGCCCGTTATAATGTATCGGGGCAAATACATCTGCCCGTTCGGCCACATTGTCCGTGATGCCAGAAACGTACGGCAGTAAGGTAGTAGATACGCTTACGATTGCCTCAGCGGCAATTATGCCGCACCCAATGGCGAGGAGAACGAGGCCGACACCACGGACGAGTCACTAATCAATCACATCAACGATCAGGCACAGTCGCAGTTCAGCTACGATGAAGTCATCAAGAGCGACATCCAACTACTGAACACACTGAACGTGTCCACCATAGTAGACCTCATGGTAGAGAATCGCAAACTCAAATACTTCATGGCGTAAGTCCACAAATACACATCAAATAAACTTTCATTTAGAATAAGTTCGAGGAACAGTTCATTGGAACAAACTGCGGAACTTATTCAGTGAACGCTAATATTCAGTCGATCCATATTAGACGTTCAATAGTTCATGTTCCACTGAGTTGTTCAACTGTTTTTAAACGATCTGTTCGAATCGTTTAGAAACGAACTAGTGATCGAACTAGTGAATGAGTCGACTTCATTCAGCAAATTGAATATTAATAATAATGTTAAAACAACTTTTACAGCGTCTCTTCGTCGGAAAAGGCGGATCCGAACAAGCACTATAAGAGCTTTAACCTGCTATCGCTGCCGTATCCGGGCTGTGAATTTTTCAAGAAGTTCCGGGACAACAATTACATGGCCAAGAATCTACACTACAACTGGAAGCAGTCATTTAACGATGCCAACATTAATATACCCAATCTGGGACCCGCCGCCGACATCGACATCATTTGGCCTGAGTACAGGGACTGGGATCTGGTCACTATTACCCAAAACTATCTGCGTGCCACGCTTAAGTATATACAGGAAGATAACTCAGGGCTGCTGATACACTGCATAAGCGGCTGGGATCGCACGCCCCTCTTCGTCTCCCTGGTGCGCTTATCGCTGTGGGCCGACGGACTCATCCATCAGTCACTCAACGCTTTGCAAATGGCGTACTTTACTCTCGCCTACGACTGGTATTTGTTTGGCCACCAGCTGCCCGATCGCCTCAAGCGGGGCGAGGACATCATGTTTTTCTGCTTTCACGTCCTCAAGTTTATCACCGACGAGGAGTTCAGCATTGTGGAGCACCGCAAGCGCACCAAGACGTCCAGCAGCAGCGGTAGCAGTGTCATTGTCATCAAATCCGACTTGTGTGACGATGAGCCACTCAAGGAGTAAGTACATTTCAGCTAAATATTTTCGGTTTAGGGATCATGAATATCCCTATTATATTGTTGACTCACTAAATTTGGTATTTGGTTTATGTTCCCGCAGAGATTACATTTTGGCCTTCGATCAAGACAGCAACGATAGCTACTCAAACTGTTCCAACTGTGATATGTCCATAACAGATAACTTCTATGCCACAACAACAACAACAGCACCAGCAGTAGCAGCGACTGCACCACCAACGCTCGTTAATCCGCTCACCAGTCGATCCCCGAATCCAAAGCGGTAATACATTTACTTGTCTAGTATTTACAAGATATTTGACATTGTTTTCCTGTTCACGCAGATCCCGCACTAGCCCAATTTCTGTGCCCGGCTCGAATGCGCGCCAGCGTCAGGAATCGACTTCATCGAACGGCAGCTGGCAGGTGGTCACGGATACCGGATCCATTGACTCCATGATGAATGGAAGTTACATGATGCGCTTTGTCTCGCAGCAGCATCAACAACAGCATCAGCAGGCGGACAACATTCCAATGTGCAATGGCGGCAACGGATATCATTGCAGCACAAACACGCCCAGCGCCTATCCCAGTGCCAGCGGCAGTAGCAACAGCAACATGAGCAACATGAGCAACACTAGCAACAGCAACAGTAGCAACAACACGCACGGTTTCGTTAATGGTTCCTCCAAGGATTCTGCCAATGCCAGTGCCAGCGCAGCAGCCTCCAAGCAGTGCATCAATTTGTAAGTTCAATTCAATCCATTATAAAATGTTCAAATGAACTTGCATCGTTAGTGACTACTCTGTAATTTTGGTTCAATAGAACTAGTACCTAATATCTAATCAGCCAAACCAGGGCTGCAAGCCACAAGCTACAAGCACGATTCAAATTAGAAGTTTGATCCAGTAAAATTATTAACAATAAGGGATTTAAGCTGAAGCAGTTTAATCACTTGAAACTTTTTACTCTACCTATTCGAATTAATAAAGCTATGTTTATTCCTTGTAGACGCAAACAACGGTTAAACGCTGTACGCGCGATCTTCATACAAGCTTATGGCAAAACGATTGGACTGAAATTCAAAGAAGGCTCCTCAATGAATCTGGCGACGTTTATTGGCAATTTGGCGGATCAGCTGTTTTAGGTTATTTGGCTGATAACTGAACTAAATCTGGAACTAGAACTGGAACTGGAACTGAAATGTGCACCCGTTGAAAGTATGCCACATGATCACATCCACAAGGACCGACCGACCGATTTAACCGACCGACCGACCGATGGACTGACTGCTGGGATTGTGGCTTTGTTGTTTGTTAGTTAGCCTTGTTAGTGCTGCGCTTTTTTACCATGGACTGTATTTTGTAGACATGTTGAATTACGTTCTTTGTGACTTGTTGATAATAAAAAGAAAACAAATGCGAAAAACATAACAAAAATAGTAGAGGAAAATATGCAATGTACAAGTAGCCAAGTTCCTTGAGCGCAGATCAGCGCCTGCACTCCACATCCTATGGACAACAAATATATATATCTATATATATATATACCGTGCAATCCTCTCCAGGCGCTGTAGATAGCCAGCTCAGCTGCATGCATGTCCCATTTGTTTCGAAAAAATGTTTGTTTATACAAAATTGAAATCAGTTAAAATAATAGTTCTAAGTTGTAATTTATAGTAATGTATTTTTTAAATAAATTATTGTGCATTTGATATAAAAACTAAGCGTATAATCCTTCTTATTTAAGTTTTTCAGATTGAAGTAGTATTTGGCACTGAGCGAGCCTCTTTATTGGCAGTTTCTGATCTTCTTTCAGCTGATCAGAGACCCCTTCTATGATGAACTTACATTGTTATCCAACTTCCAAAAAACGCAACTAAAAGCGCCTTTTGCTTTCCCGCCTCACATTCGACATAGGCAAATGGTCTTTCAGATCCAACCGCTTCAGTCTCACTTCAACCCGCTTTACATAGTGCTTGGCGCTCTTGAGCGGCACATAGCGCAGCTGAAGATCATCTTTTTGAACGGGTGCTACTTCTGACTGACTCTGTAGCTTCTGCTGCTCTACTTTAAGAAGATATGGTGGATCTTCTTTGATAAGTTGTTTGGAATGGCGATCAATTGGTTCTGGAGACGCATACTCTGGTTCAGGCTGTGGGTGCTCTGGTTCAGCTTGTTGGTGCTCAGACTGTGTGTACTGTGGTTCTGGCTCTGGTTCAGGCCGTGGGGGCTCTGATTTAGATTGTGAGTGCTCTGGTTTAGGCTGTGAATGCACTGATGCAGGCTGTGGGTTCTCAGGTTCAGACTGTGGTTCTGGATGAGTATGTTCTGGTTCAGGCTGTGGGTGCTTTGGATCTGGCATGCAATGCAGGTTGTTGAAGTTTGCTGCGGTTGATGCTGATGGAAGTAATACTTTTAGGCAGGTCTTTGACGCATATTTCTTAAAAAACTCATCGTAATCGCTCTGCACCAATTGAGCTTCTTTTTCACCGAGGACTTGCACACTGAACGCCCATCGCGCTCTTCACTAAATATGGCATCCAGTACCTCTACCTCTAACTGCCTTTGCAGTGTCGGCGACAATTGTTCAATGAACGGCAGCTGATTGAGAATAAACAATTGCGTTGGAGTAACTCCCTTGACGTTCGCTCGCGGCTTGACGTCCATCATCTTGCTAATTTTCCACATTATAGTGTGCAGTTGTTTTGGCCATCGGTCCTGTTGTTTTGTGAACAAGGGACAGATGGGAACGCAAGATGTCCCAACGCCAGCGGAGCTCCTCAACGGAAAAGGGGGTACTGAGCTGTAAGCCTTCGTACCCATGGTTGAAGGCCTTGGCTATTTCCTCCCAACCCCACTCTTCGTAGTCCTTGTCATCTTGGGGATCCACCGCTTTGCTAAATAGGTATGGATACATGTAGATCAGTTCGAGAAGGCGAAGATCGTTTAAAACTATTTGAGAATTCGCGTTTGTATTTGTGATGTTGATTTCTATTTGTGTTGAATCCTCACAGTCATTATTGTCCATTATGTTATACTTTCTTTTTTATTTCAATAGTCTAGACTATTGTTTTTTAGTTGTTAATTTGAGATAAATTTAAGAGAATAAACTAAATGAAGATGGACCTATCGATAAGAATACTTATTTTCTTATCGCTAGTGATGGGAGCTAGAGATGATGCCACATGTATCATCCCTAACCGAGCCTTGCGATGCTTATTGTAAAAATTAATCGCCACGGTATTTGACTTTTATTGCAAGCTGAAACAGGAATTCACTTCAACTTTCGAGTTAAGGGATGATATGTTATATCTTATTTTATTACCTTTTCAACTATTCATAATATAACTATAACTATATAATATAATTTTTATTATAAAAAACATTATCAAATGGCTAGCAGCTTACTAGGCTTGATTAATTTTTTTATTTAC